TCAGGATTACGGTTTAGGGTTTAGGGAATAATTAGGGTTTAGGATTTCGGGGCAGTGCATGCATGGAAAAGAGGGCTGTTTGCCCTCGAAATGATCTCCTGAAAGCCCTTTGACTCCCGTGACTGTGGGAGGAGGCCAGGGCGGTACCTGTTCCTGGATTGATCTGGAGCACCCTCAGCTGTCTGGAAGGTCAATTCTGGCACTACGCCCTCTCCATCGACCTCCACCAGCCTTGGCAATTGCGGCCAGAGGATTTCTATCCTGAGATAGACATGGCCCGGAGATGGGTGGCACGGAGATGGCACAGGCCTTTGCCTGTCATGCATGCATGAGGCATTCATTCTTAGATTACGGGAGTGCTTAGCTTTTCTCCTCGAAGTTCTGTGCTTTTGGCTAATCCACGTCTTTGCCTCCTTGCGACTGAATCCTGCACTCAAAAGGCGTTAGGACGCGATTTCGGAACTCGGCAAGAAGGCGAGCGGAGGTGTTGAGGCTTCGGTATGCCCGTGTTGACCCGTGTTGCAGGGACCATCATGCGAATTTGTGCGTGAACGGGTCGGAAGCGGAAAGCTCCGGATGTCTTTTCGGAGAAATCCGGTCAGCAGACGACTTCCCTTCTATCCTGAACGACCGTTCCCTCATGGTTGAGAACGACACTCACCAGTTCGATTTATGGCAGTTCGCCCCTGTCGAGGACGCCCGAAACCTTGTCCCGCAAGCCGGGAACGGGAAACCCGAAATCCTACACCCCTAAAAGCCCTAAGCCCTAAACCCGTAAAGCCCTAAGCCCTCAAAGCCCTAAACCCTGAACCCCTAAAGCCCTAAACCTTAAACCCTAAGCCCTAAGCCCGGAACAGGAACCTTGAGACCCGATTCAACTCTTGATCGCCTCCCCCCCCTGTGGAGGACAACGGCTGGGTCTTCCTGGGGGAGACAGGAAAATATGTGACCAGGTTCCTGGGTAGTACCCCTTTTGCCTTTTTTCTATTGTACTATGAGAACTGAACAACAGTAAAAAGGGCACCCTTGTTATTAAGGGGTCACTCGGAACCCCAGGTGAGCGTCAGCAGCAAGCGCTTCAGCCGCGTGCGGCCCTTGCAACATGGACTGCTCGTCACCTTGGCCGGAGTCGTCGGAGAGGAAGTCCGGCTGACTGCCCTGATGCCCAATAGTGCTGGTTGGACTGTGCTGGAGAAGCTTGTGAAGCTTGAGCATATAGTGGCTGTTGTGGCTCTTTCTTCGGAGCCTTCTGAATCCTTCGAAGATGTCTTGCAAGTATAACCCAGAGGCCCGGGAGACTCAACCAAGAGGTATGGTGTCTTCAGAATTAGGCCCGCGAACGTCGAGAGTTGAAGGCGGCAGCGGAGCTCAGGAAGCACTTCTCGAAATTGTTTCAAGGAGCCAAGGAAGTCGCCAGACGCAGTGCATCAAGTTTCGGTCCTTTGGACCAAAGCGTTCCATCCTCACCAACGCGACATCTGCAGCAAGCGCGGCTTTCAAAAACCTGTTGCTGCTGGGCTCTAGACTCAAGCACTAAACCCTAAACCCCAAAACCTTAAACCCTGAAGAACCCGATTCTGCAAACGCATCGTAGAAGCCTAGTTCTCTAACCATTGTCATATATGTATTTCTATATATGTTTATATCTATATGTATGTGTGTATGTATGTAAATAAATAGATAGATAAGCAAATACGTATAGATAAACAAACACATACATCAACAAAAAATATGTATGTATATATATATATAGATATATACTCACCCTAAACGATTTCTGGTAGAGGGTTCCAGGGGTCTCTGCGTGCGAACATCTGGTGGCGAGCAGCCTAAGCCCTACGACCTAAACCCCAAACCGCAAACCCTAAACCCTAAACTTAAACCGTAAACGCTCAACCCCCGACTGCAATACAAACTGCAAATCCGGAACCTTGTCCAAGCTTTTGTCCCTGAATCCTTTTGAGTCAGACCAGACTTGCATCGTTGGGCCGTGGCTTTCGGGATATTACTTCTAACTCACGGTTTAGAATTTAGCGCTTATGCTATATGTTATTATTGTGTATAATAGATGTAAAACTGCGTGGCTTTCGATCTGGGGGGCATTGGATTTAGCTTTTGGTTTAATGATCTAGAGTTTGAGTTTCCGTTCAGGCCTTCAGGGCGGTTAGGCTTTATGATTTTAGGATTTAGCAGTGTTTTGCTGTAACCCTAAACCCTAAACCCTAAACCCCTAAACCCTAAACCCTAAACCCTAAACCCTAAACCCCAATCCCTTTAAGACCCCTATGCTAGGGTTTTTGGGGCTGTGAGCCAGGTCCTCGGAGCTGAGGACTCCGTTCCTCCGAGCTCTTTGTTGAGTTTAGGGTTTAGGGTTTAGGGTTTTGGGGTTTTAGAGTTTTGGGGTTTAGG